GACTCGGTCGGCTCGGTCGACTACGAGTCGATGATGTACGGCGAAGAGTACACCAAGGTGGCGCGCGAGCTCCGCCAGCAGGCCCAGGAAAAGGCCGTCGAGGAGGGCAAGCCCATCGTCGCCGCGGTCGCCGAGAAGCCTGCCAGCGGGTACGCGGCCGCCTTGATCAACGGCGCGGCGGCGGCGGCTCCAAAGAAGGAAGAGGCCCCGAAGAAGAAGGAGGTTGTCGAGTCGCCCAAGAAGGCGGCGCCGGTCAAGAAGGCTGTCGTTGTCGAGGCGAAGAAGGAAGTGAAGGAAGTGCCCGTCGTCGCGCCCACGGGTGCCTGGGGTGCGCGCTCGTTCTTGGACATTGTGAAGGAGCCCAAGAAGGCCGAGGCCGAGGAATAAAGCAATTAGGATCAGACTGCATATCGCGTATGTACATATATTTCAACGTGTCCCACCAACGCTCGCAAGGCCAAGCAAGGCACGTCGCTTGGCCATACGAGCTGCAGTTTCGTCTCGGTCCCCGCTGTGCACAAGGGACGTGAGACGTGTTGGTAGCACCCATCCACCGATGGATACGCGAGGGCCTTACTTCTTTTAAACCGTCTGCAACGATGTAGACCCTACACCTAGTGTCGGCAAATGTCGACCAAGGCAGATCTAGTAGACGCCACAATTCCGGTCGGTCTTGTATGTACTGTGTATTCATAATCATCCTTGGGCAGCCGTCCACCATCGCATCCGAAAGACATCGGAGTACACACCAATGATCGACTGCGAGCCAGGACGCTCCACGAGGCTGCACCCGATGACACTGCGAGAGACCACCGCGGTGCCCACGTGGATGACGAGCGCAGTAATACATGAATACGTGTGAACGTGCATTGAACGGGTTGGCAGCTTACATGCCTCGTCGACAGAGTGCAACGCTCTACTTGATGTGCGCGTGCTTGTTCCAGTAGTCGACCGCCTCTTGGTACTTGATCGGGTCGATCGGGACGCCCGAGCCGCCGGCGCCCTTTCCGAGCGCATTCCGAAAGTAATGCATCGGCTCCATCGGCAGTTCCGTGTTGACGTCCTGCGCAATGACGTTGGTGATGCGCCACGGTGCGTCGCCCAGCGCGATGTCTTTGCCCATCGCTTCGTTCTCCAGAAACACTTGCTCGCGGCTGTAGAGCACAATATCGAGAAACTTGGCCGTCACCGGCGTCACGCTGTGCGACGGAAACCAGCGCATGAGCCTACGCCATCACAATCGTTCCTACTCCACCATGCGAGGGAAGAAAATCATGTACACGGGGAGCTCTTCGGGGCGGCGCTTCGTGTAGCCCGACTGGAGCAAGTGGATCGACTTGTGCGTGATTGGCACCGTCTGGACGCGCGCGTTGATAAAGTTGGGCACAAACAAGTGCTTGCAGAACGGCGCGTAGCTGCGCAAATACGCTCTGAGAACCGACGAGGAGGATCGAGGAGGATACATGGCGTACCCGTCGACGAGCGCGTACTCGCCGTTCTCGTAGTACTTGTTGATCATGGCTTCAAACTTGGTCTTGTCGTACTTGACTTGCGTCCCGCGAAAGTTGGCGTCGTCAAACTGCCGCATGACAAACTCATCTACGCCGGCGCCCATGAGCTACAGTCGCAGCAAGATATCGGCGATCGCACCGAGAACGATCGACGGCGACGACGGCTTCTTGGGCGTCTCGTCCGGCGCCGACGTGCTCATGGCGCGGACAGGCGCGCGGAGCGATCTTGCGCGGCGAAGGAGCAGCAGGGACATGGCAAGGACGGCGCGAGACGGACTTTAACGACGGTCTTGGCACCAAACACGAATGCGAAGTTCGAAGTGTTTATTTGCGGTCCGTAGGGTTGGGCGGCGGCACGGACGTTAAAAACACGCAACTTGCAGCAACGTGCCGATCCCGATGCATCGCAGCAGCATTGCACGCAACAGGATGTGCCTCCAATCGCCCCGACAAGGTGGCGACTCGCACCCAGCACGCTTGGCTTTGGGCTCGCAGCCACCCATCGGAGCCCTCTAGTAACGTTGCAAGGTCGATGTCGCGTCGTGGGCTGGAAGCAGCAATCCATTCTGGGTCTAGCCGTTGCAATCATCGACGCCCTGCCACGCCACGTACGCAACCAATTGACCGTTGAGGACCGCGATCCAACGTTGGCCGATACATCCGCCCAGAGAAAAAATTATCTCCATTTCTCTGCGCAAGTCCGTAACGTGCTTTGAAAAGGTGCTGTGATAAGTATACTTTTATTGTCCTTCATTGCTCATCGACAAGCGACTGCTTCCTTTCCAGTAGCTCTACACTGTAGTCTCGTCGTTGTACTTCAAGCCGTGGCGCTGCAGCAGTTGCGTGGTTTTATCCTGCGTACTTCGATCTTCGCTCGTGTTTATCCGGCACTTCGCCGGACGCACCACAAGAACGATCTTCGATGTCTTCGAAGTTCGAAGGCAGCCCGCGACTCGGTGGCTACAATAAATCTTATCGCCATGTCGCTCTCGCTCGACAAGTCGGAAGAGTCGGTCTTCCTCCGCTTCGCTGCGCGCTTCTGCGGCGTCAAGACGTCGTCGGCCGCCCATGGTGACATCCGCCTCAAGCTCGGCAACGTCATCCTTAACGAGACCAACACGATCGTGCGCTACTTTGCCCGGGCGGCCGACCGCGAGCTCGAGCTCTCGGGCGCGACGCCCCTCGAGCAGGCCGAGATCTCCGAGTGGATGAGCGTCGCTTCCAACCAGCGCGCCAACGAGGGCCTCAACAACAAGGGCCAGTGGGACCTCCTCGACGCCCACCTTGCGTCGCGCGTCTACTTTGTCGGCAAC